ATGTAAATAAGAATCTTTATTACTTGACAAATATTTATTTTTTATACCTAATATTTAACTACCTCTTTTCAAGTACAAAAACTGCCTATTCAAACAAGTTAATTACTCACCCACCATTGGGAAACTCATCTACCATTTTTAGGTGCGCAACACGAGTCAAATCCGGATTAATCGGGACGAAATCTAAGATATTGGGTGAGAAACAAAAAAAAAAAAAACTGCCTATTCAAACAAGTTAATTACTCACAAATATCAGGTTGGTTTCTTCTAAGTACTGTTCAAAAAAATATGGACATCAGGTTGATTTCACCTCGCCGATGGTTATGACTTATGAGCTCGGTGGTCCGGAGACTTCCAAAGAAAAGAATTATCAATTTTTACAAGCACTTGGAATATTCTGCAGTATTCTTGGGCCAGGGCCTGGTTCTTGTGGGCTTCGTCCATTGACCTTATCATGGAAGAAGCTGCTTTTTTGTTTCGTGGAAAGGGTTTGCGAAGGAATTGGGTAGAAAATCTTTGTCGGCTTCCCACCGTTTACAAAGCGGATTCTCCCGCACGGCATTATATCTGGTATATGGATGCGTTGGCTATGTAGAGTTAAGTGCTTAACCACAATTAAAATGAGGCAATGTTATATTTATAATGTTATATAAAATTATAAATTTATAATAATAATAATATAATATTAAATAAATATAATATTTCATTTCATTATCTTCCATGATATAGCAGTTTGCCACACTTTTCTTTCCTCCATTGAAGCAGCTTTCTGGCTGCACATTTTGTTCAATAAATGCAGTTTTTTGCTGCACCATTTTGTTATTTTGTTGTAGTAACATCACAGTTTTGATGTGACTGCTCCAATATACATGCTAAATGCAATATTGATTCCTACAAAGGTAAATTATATTTTATATTTTTGTTTCGTTTCTTTTTTTTTTTTTACTCAAAAATTAGTTAAACTTAAGTTTAAAAAAATTTAATGAGATGCATTTTATATGTTTTAATTTATTATTTTAACTTTAATTTTGTTGCCATTTGAATGGATAAAATGTGATTTTCAATGGATTTTACATTATTTTTATTTTTATTTTTTTGTTAAAAAAGACTTGAATATGTATAATACTAAGAGTTTTTAAGATTAATTGAATATTTTTTGAAAGTTGAGGGATTAAATTGTGAGAAAAAAGGTTCCTTTTAGGGTCTTAAATGAATGAATCCGAAGTTATAGGATCAAAGTGATAAATATTTAAAAGCTTGAGGACTAAATTTGTTATTTTATCATTGAGAAAATTGCAAAGAGGTTCAAAAACCCGACACGGCTTTGGTGTCGACACCTATTTTGTGGTGTCCGTACCTTACGTTAAGACTTTGAAAAACTGGTCCACCTGAAATGAACAGAAGTACGGTCCCTTGCATATTGCTGTCATCACTGAACACCTTTCAGCGTTAAGAATTTCTATTTTTGTTAAGGGTTCTACTTTTTATTTTTCTTTTTTTCTTTTTTTTTTCTAATTGGCCTTCGTAAATTCTATAAACACCTTTCAAAACCAAATTTGGAAGCTTTTATGGAGACCAAGAGACCAAGAGTAAGATGGAGGGACCTAACACAAAAAGTAAATTACAGTTTGAAATTTTATATTGTTAAACTAATTTTATTTATTTTTAAATTTTATTTTATAATATTAGATATTTTTATATTTATTTTTTTAATTATCAATTAATT